CAATTAAATCTTCATATTTCAATAACTATTTTTCAATTATTTTCAACTTCAGAATGAGATGAAGATTTTCACAACTTTGATTGTTGACAAGGTAAGAGATGAAGGCAGCTTTCCTATGTGGTAGCTCAGAGCTAAGAAGAAAGATTCATATGGTAAAATAGAAGGATGTAACAATGAGCAAAGACCAAGGAAGGTTGGGTGTAAGGAGGTCAAAGGATACAAATGAATGTATGTTACTAAAGTGGTGGTGGAGGTATGGGTGGAGGATAAATCACTATGGAAAAAGGTTATTATAAGTAAGTATGGGGCTGAAGGGGGCAGATGGTTACCACTGAAGGATGGGGAAGGTAAGGAATCTATTTTGTGGAGTGAAATTTTGAGTGTGGCAAGATCTAATCCTGAGCTTTTTCAGTTTTTTGTCTCTAAGTCTAAGATTGTGGTTGGGGATGGGTGCAGGATTCAATTTTGGCATGATAGGTGGCTTATGGATCTACAGTTGAAAGAGGAGTTTCCGAGATTGTTCAGGCTTTCAATGGAGAAAGAAGGAAAGCTGAGTTTCTTTATGCAAATGAGGGACAGAGCTGGTGGCTGGAGGCTACAGTTTAGAAGGTCATCATTTGTTTGGGAGGAAGAGAAGGTAAGGAAGCTGCAAGTGTTGACAAGGGATGTTCCTAGGTTGAATGAGGATCTGTGTGATGTAGTAAGGTGGACTGCATCTCCCTCTGGTGAGTTTACAATGATATTTGTGAGAGACTAGTTCTAGTTAAACTCTGGCCCTAGTTTACTGGTTCCTAGGATGTTATGGAATAATGTGGCACCACCCAAAGCACAGTTCATGAGTTGGTTGGTCTGGAGAGGTAGGGTTAAATCATCTGCTGTTCTGCAGAGATTTGGGGTGTTAGGTAGCAATGTTGATATTGCTTGATCAGCTATTGAAGAGTCTGTGGATCACCTTTTTGTGTGGTGCCCTGAGATAAGGAAGGTTTGGGGTTGTCTGTTACAGTGGTGGAATTTATGCTGGGTATCTCCTGCTACAATGAATGGAGTGCTCTCTTGGTGGTTGGGAATCAAGCACAAGAAATCAGTGAAGAAAATCTAGATGCTTGTACCTTTAGCATCACTATTTAAAATTTGTTGGTGTTCCACCCAACAAAAAATTACTAGACATGTTCAATTTTTATTACAGCTTGAAAAAAAATTATGTGAAACAATTTTATTCTAATTTTTAAAAAAATTAAGTGAATAATCTAAAAAATCATAATTTAGGAAGTTAATTTTTGCCAAGTGAGGCTATGCATCTGAGATGGCTGGGTGTAGGTGACTGGGTGTGGTGGTCTGCTATTGTTCCTGCTCTGTTTTTAGTTTTCTTTATGGTTGGTTTCTCACCAGCTTTGGGGTGGTGCTGTCAGATGATTGTGTTTACTTCTTGGTGCCAACCTATTTGGGATTCGGAAGTTGAGCTATGATGATGTTTATACCATCCCTTTCTTCATTTTTTGATGTAATACTTTTACTTTGTATTGGTTGTTTCATCAATAAAGGTTCTCTTTTGATGATCAAAAAAAAAAAAAAAGGTTAAGAGATGAAGGTCCCTTTGCCTCTCAAGGAGGACCTATAATCCTTGCACAGGTATGTTTGTCGTATTATAATATTATTGTATATATTTTATTGGCTGTAGTTGTTTGAATGTTCTTATTACTAATATAATTATTCTTCTATTTTCCAAAAAAGAAAAAAAAAAAGAAAAGAAAGAAAGATTGAAAACGAGTATGGCAATGTTCTGTGGTCTTATGAAAATGAGGGAAAATCATACATAAATTGGTGGGCTAATCTAGCTCAATCTTTTCGCATTGCAGTACTATGGATCATGTGCCAACAATCGAATCCTCCAAGGAATGGTATTAATATTTTCTATTTTTTTTAATTCTTTTCATTTTTATAATTTTTAAGTAAATATGTTTATAATTTTAATTTTATTTTGACTGATTTAACACGTGCAATATTTGGTACAGCAATGCTAGGTATCATGAAAAGTCTTTCATGAAAATAATCATGAAAGATTTGTGACCCTTGAATTACACTTAAAATAAAGCACTACACACTAATCAAGGTAATCCAAATGTCGCAAAGCTTTCATGATTATTTTCATGAAAGATTTTTCATGGTCCCTAACTTTTCCCTATTTGATATTGTGATGGATTCCATCCTAGTAGTGGCATTCCTAAGAGGTGGACTAAAAATTGGAGCAGCTGGTTACACTGCAAGAAAAAACACATTTGGCGACTAAATTTTTAGTCGCCAAAAGTCGATTTTTAGTTTTCTCGACTAAATTTTTTAGTCGCCAGTTTGGTCGCTGGAAAACGGTCGGGAAAGGTATTGGCAACTAAAAAACTTTTAGTCGCCAAAAAGCAAGTCTTTACCAACCAAAACTTTAGTCCCCAATAGTCAATTATATTTTTTAAATTATACATTTGGCAACTAAACTTTTAGTCGCCAATAGTCAATTATATTTTTTAAATTATACATTTACCGACTAATGTTTTAGTCACCAATACTCAAAAAAATTACACCTTGCTCTTGTGGAGATTCAAACCATCAACCTCCCACACCATAAACATTATACAATACACTCTCTTCCCACTACGCCTCCATAACACCATATGATTATGTATGCAACATATATTATTTATATAGTACTTAGACCCGTATTAATATAAAAGTATATATATAAACATAATTATTTTTTATTGAACATAATTTATGTAACAAAAATGTTTAAGACCCCCTTTCCCCTCACCCCCTTTGACGCCCTCTCTTTGTTGATTGGCTACTTTTTCTTTTGCTTTTTTTTTTTCCCTTCTCCTCCAATCACCACCCGCCACGTGTGTGTGGGGGTTGTGGGGGTGGTGATTGGAGGGGGTCTCTATCAATGCTCTTTATGTAAAAATAAATTATTTAGTAGAAAAAAAAAAGGAGACCACTTTTGGCGACTAAACATAATTTTAGTCGCCAATTCTATACTTTTGGCTACTAATTATTTTTTAGTCGTTAAAAAAAAAATTCCCACGTGCAAATTACCACTTTTGGCGACTAAACTTTTTTTTAGTCGCCAAAAAGCCTCACTTTTGGCTACTAAACATGTTTTTAGTCGTCGAATGCTTCACTTTTGGCTACTAATTTTTTTTAGTTGCCAAAGGGCCTTACTTATGGCTACTAAAATTTTTTTAGTCGCTAAAAGCATAACTTTTGGCGACCAAATAGATTTTTAGTCGTCGAATGCCTCACTTTTGGCTACTAAATATTTTTTAGTCACCAAAAGGCCTTACTTTTGACTACTAAAATTTTTTTAGCAGCTAAAGCCATATATCGGCGACCAAACAGATTTTTAGTCGCCAAAACCTATACTTTTGGCTACTAATGCATTTTTAGTCGCCAAATGCTATACTTTCAGCGACGAAATGTCATTTTTTAGTCGCCAATAGTGCTTTTTCTTGTAGTGTTAGTATTCAATATTTCTTTACTGGTATCATACTTTTGTATTAAACCAATATTTGTACTTATTATCATTTTTTGTATCACGAATTAATTAGGTATAAGGGTTAGGGTCAAAAAACTCCACACAGAACTGCTAAAGATCTTATTTTTGCAGTTGCACGTTTTTTTCAATATGGTGGCACGTTACAAGACTATTTTATGTTTGCAGTTAAATATTTTTTTTTCATTTTGTTTCGCATAAAATTCAACAACAGAATAGATAATTTCTTAATTGTATATTTTTTCCATGAAGTTCCATGGTGGTACTAATTTTGGTATCGAGAGGTCTTTACATTGCTACAACATATGATTACGATGCACCACTTGATGAATATGTTAAATAAACTTAAACTCTTATGTAATTTTTGTAAACCATATTCTTCGTTTACATGTATCATTTACATACATTATTATGATATTTTTTTTAGGAAATTTGAATCAACCCAAGTGGAGACATCTTAAGCAACTCCATCTCCTCTATTAGAGATGACACCAATATAAAGAGAGATGGGGGGCTCTCTTTTTATTTTGTACCAAAAAAACTTTTTCCTATTAGAAATTACTTCTATGATATTTAAATTTTTTTGTGTATATACATAATTTATATATCATATTGTATATTCATATGTGCATATGTATATGGTAAAAAAATTTTGTTTGTTTTTTTGACCCGTTCTGATTCCGTCCCTACTCACACGTGTTGTGATTAGAAATGTTGAATATGGGAATATGATGACAGTAAGCTTTATTTTATTTATTTATAAATATTTATCAAAAATATAGAGGAGTCTTTCAACTAAATATTTTCTTCTTTTTGCAGGCAACATTATTTGAGTATAGTGGTAAAAGGGTATGTTTCTTTGGAAATGCAAATGACAAAGATGACATAACAATTAATTTTGAGAACAATAATTACACTATTCCTGCATGGTCTGTTAGTATCCTTCCCGATTGCTATACGGAGGTTTACAACACTGCTCAGGTAAAAAATTTGTACCTAATTTTTTTTTTTTTACGCTACAAGAAATAACACTTTTGCCGACCCAAAAATTGGTCGCTAAAAGCCCATTTTTAGTCGACAAAAGTTATCCGCGACCAATTTTTTTGGTCGCTACTTTGGTCGCCAATTGAGGGTCGGCAAAAGTAATTTGTGACCAAATTTTTGGTCGCTAAATATATCATTACTGCGATTAATCCATTTTGTCGCTAAAACACTTTGGTCGCGAAAAGTGATATTTTCCCAACCGAATATCTTAGTCGCCAATTGTCACATTCCACGACCAAACAGATTAGTCGCCAAAAGTCAAGAAATCGCCGACTAACAATTTAGTACCAATGATTTTAGTCACAAAAGTGTAGAATTTGCCGACCAATTTTTTAGTCGCCAAATCTCTCTCTTTTTTTTTTTTTTTTTTCTTTTTTTTAGAACAATCAGTTTTTGTTTATAAACATTCAATCCAATATCAAACAAAATTCATTCAACCCAAAATCTCTTTCCTTTTCTAACTGCTTTCTTATTTCATCCAATTGTTCCACTGAGATGAACATTTTCTAATTTCAGGTTTAGGATAAATTGTAAGAACATGAACTCTCCAAGTAGAGAGTACCTTTTCCTTGCCTTTCAACAAGCTTAGCCTCAAGCGACTTATCTATCATTTCTTCATCACTCTGCTTAACTTTTAGAACCTTAACATCTTTTTCGATCGTTTTGGCAGAATTCACCTGTTAAAAGTGCCAGTGCAACTTTAAATTAACCCATCTTGGTAGAAGCAATTACTTGCATGCCTGGTTGACATAGGTCATCACAAAGAGTTGGTGCAAGGATAACCTCTGGAGGTAAACCTGATTGAATAAAATGAACATTCCAGTCTATCCCATGTAAAGAATGTTGGATCAAATAAAAACAAAGCTTCCAGGAATTTCTCATGTGGATATAAACATATAATAAATAATATTGTTAAAAGAAGGTTAGATTTTAGGGCATAAAAAAAAACCCCCCATATTTTGTAACACAAATTTCATATCATGGACTTGCCAAACAAAGCAGAAATTCTAAGTAAGTCTCTAAGACAAACCCATGCAAGCACAAGGCACAAGGCACAAGGAGATGGCTATTATGTAAGCAAACCTGTTCTTGTATAGTCTGCATCTGAGCGAGGTTCTTGGACAGTTTCTTGCAAGCCTGAGAATGTTGAAGTAAACAAAGACGCCATCAATTACCTTTTCAACTAAAAATATTGTTATTCATGCACTCCAGAATGTACATACAGCATGATGTTTATTCAGATTTGATTTGTCTTTCCATTTTGGGGTTGGATGGTAAAAAGTTATTTGAGAAGCAAAACGTGCTTACAAAATTTACCCCATCACATAAAAAATCAATTATATATCATCTAACTAAGAGTTGATCTCATCACATAAATAATTGATCTCATCACATTAAAAATAAAAATAAAAAAGGTTGCTAATTTAACATAATAGAATATGAATTACATAACATAACAACAACAAAAAATCAATGCCTTTGTAATTTGAATTTGAATTACAAGTCCCCTTAAAAAGTTGGAATTCCCAAAAGGGACTAACATTGTGAAATGAACATAATAGAATATGTTCATGACATGTTCAACTAAATTATAAGCTTATAACATTGATGTCAATCTTTATAGAAAAACAAGAAAATTAAAAGACACTCAGAAAGCTAAAATTGTATCACAAAAATTGAGAATATAGATTGAATAATATATCACTACCTCAACCCTTCCAAAGAACTTGATGGCAGAAGGGGAGAATATAATGACTATAAAACATCAGGATGAGAATCCAATGAATTATACTGGTGTATGTAACCTGCAAGGAAAAAAAAACTGGTAGAATAGATCACCAGCTTCAGTTTCAATACTGATTCATCCAGTAGGACTGGGGTCAACTTAACAAATCTGACCAAATTTGTCAAAAGTAATTCATACCACAATGTTAGATTAATAAATAAAACTAAAAAAATGAAGAAAGATAAGTGAAATTCATCAACAACACATGCTTGAACTCAATAATGAAAATAATAATAAATAAATAAATAAATGAAAACCAAACTTTGTAGCAATATTATCAAATTACAAGTATATAAATTGCACTTGATTTGAAACAATTATAAGTTATAACCAAATAGCCACTGTATTCTTGCAGTTCATTTAAGTCCAATTAAATGTCAGCCCCATCAAAAAGATATTCTGCATTTTCAAACACCCATTCCCCGCTAAACAAGTTGCTCCGGAGGATTGGGAGAGGAGGGTTTCAACTACCACATTTTCAAGAAAAGGATATTTTACAGAAACCTAATTCCCAATCCCAATAAAACCTCCAATTCTTTCTTTTCTTTTCTTTTCTTTTTATTAAGTTCTTGACAAAAATCTCCAAAATTAATACATAAATCTTGATCGACTCCGAAAACATAATCAACACAAATCAGACGGTTAAATGCTAAATCACTAATAGCTCAACTACAATAAGCCAAACAGAACAAAACCCAATTAAGATTTAAGGGCAATTAACATATATACACGAGCAGAGTATAAAAAAGAGCATGTTTTTGATCACTTACAGTGACAGGTGCGTCGACCCTTTGAACATTGCTCTCTTCGATGAGGATTTCCATGGCTTTCAGGCAAAGGGACTTGACTTCGGACTCTTTCAAAGGCCCGCACTTCTTCAGCCGCTCAATTTGACTGTCTAGGTCTGACATCTTCCTCTTTGTTTGGTCTCCTCTGTTACACACATAGAAGGATCGAAAAATAGAGAAGAAGAAGAAGAAAAGTCAGAACTAACCTGTTAGGGCTGCAAGTCGAAGCTATGTTGAAGAAGAAGAAGAAGAAGAATCAAAGCTACGATGAAGAAGAAGAAGAAGAACCGAAGCTCTGTTCAAGAAAGAAAGAAAAAAACCCTAGAGGATGAAATTAGGTGAAGAGAGACAGAAGACACAGGGTAGAGGCGTGAGAGAGAAAGGCAGTCACAGAGTGAGAGACATAGGGGAGATTGGGGCTTTTTTCAAAAAAAAAAAAAAAAATTTATGTTTTCCTGGGTACAAAACGACTCCGTTTTACAATTAGCGACCAAATTTTTTTGTCGCAAAAAAATTTTAATTCCCGCCTCCACACTTCAAGTTTTCCTCCCAAACTTTTGGCGACCAAAACACCAGATTAGTCGGAGAAAAGGTACCTTCGCCGACAAACTTTTTTAGTCGCCAAATCTCAATCAGCGGCGACTAAAAATTAGTCGCTAAAAGTACTAATTTGGCGACTAATTTTTTTTGGTTGCCGAAAATAAATTTTTGGCGACCAAATTTTTGGTCGCTAAAGAAAAAATAAAAAATTTATTTTCCATTCGGCGACTAAATTGTTTTAGTAGCCAAAACTCAATATACGGCAACTAAAATATTTGTGGTCGGGGAAAATAAGTTTTTGGCGACAAAAATTTTGGTCGCCAATTCCACAACCAACTTATTTTTGATCTTCCATTACCAACTTATTTTTTGGTCGCCAAAATGTAACTTTCTGCGACCAAATTTGTAATTGGTCGCCAAAATATGACCTTCTGCGACCAACTCATATTTGGTCGCCAAAACTAATGATCATTCGCGACTAATTAATATTTGATCGCCAAAAGGTAACTTTTAGCTACTAACTTTTATATTGGTCTTGAAAAGTGGTCGCTATAAGTGCAAATTCTTGTAGTGTTATATTAATAATAAAATTAGTTTACAAAACTTTGCATTATATATTTCGGGCTTAGTTTTGGCTGATTTTTGTTATATAGGTCAATACTCAAACATCTAATATAGTAATGAAGTTGAATGACGCCGATGAATATCAAGAATCCTATAATTCGCAGTGGACATGGAGATCAAAACATTTTGTACATTTTACGATCAACGAGAAAAAGATGGTGAGTGAATGATTATATTTATACTGGTAATCAATTAATGGTCCAAAGTTTGCGAACGACACTAGTGACTATTTGTGGTACATGACTAGGTAATTATATGGTTCTATTTTCTTTTTGTTTATTACTTTAAATATCTTAATTTTATTGAACTTTTCAAAAAACGATTTGTGTGTGTGCGCGCGCGTGTGTGTATGTTTTGGCTAATAAATGTGTTTTAATTACCCCCAGGTTTTATTCCTTAATTTTGATGGTGGTGTTCTTTGATTAGATACACATTTGCTTTATTTAATAAGAGGCAATAAATTAAATCAATTGACTGAGTGTTGCCTGGATATTGTGTAATTAGGGCATGTATCGCTTTAATTATTTTTAAATAAATTTGTTTTGAGATTTTTTGGCTTCATTTTTGCGCTGCATGATGAACGTTATGATATATGTGGGTTGTGTTACATGAAACATGGTTACTATGAAAATGGCTGGGCTTTTCTATAATCCACATCTGAATTGGAAGGTGTTATCTAAGTTTATGGGTATCGTTTCAATAATATATGTTGTTCATTTTGTAGATTTCTAGGTGTAAATCAGCCATGTACAAAAGTTAGTTGATCTAATAATAAAAGCCTTTTCATTTTATGGAGCTTCTCTTTAAAAAATAGAGGTCTCTCTCTCTCTCTCTCTCTCTCTCTCTCTCTCTCTCTCTCCTATATCAATGGCAGTTGGGTTGGTATCCAATGGCGATTTCTTCGCTGCAAAGTCTTCGGCCGTTAACTAGCCGTGTTGCCTCTGTTTACAGTGAGGTTCAAGGTCATCCATGGCCCCCTAGCTTCGCCGGCGGTGACTACAACTCTTTCGTCTGCTCCGTCTGCTTCACCGCCACTGCTTCTATCTCCTCTCCTCTCACCTCACCAAACCTCTCTTTACTTCAATCATCAAGCCCTTTGTTGAATCTTTCTTTACTAAACAAGATCACAATTCTCAGATCGGAGCCGCGTTGTGCCTTGCGGTGGCGATCAATGCTACTTCAGATTCGGATGGCGATGAAGAAAGCAAGAGGGGTGCTGGTGGTGAAGTTGAGAGCTGGTGAGGAAGGGTTTTGAAATTGGGCATCTAATGTCAAAGAAGATTGCGCACTTGGTATATACATAGGCAAAGCCTGAAGAATATACTTGACATGCATGGCACTTAAATTTACCGCTGAATCCATTTGCATTGCCAATATTCTCTTACAAACTAACCAAATGAATATTGGAGCAGGGTGAGTATGTGTTGGTGTTGGCAAAATGAGCATTTTACCTGCAGAGGCAAATCTACACAAGATTTGTGCAGCAAAAACTTGCATTCAAGACAGATGTAGACAATAGAATCATCATCCTCAAAGTGAAGCTGGTTTATTTGAAGTCAGAGAAATTTGTGAAGTCAGAGAAATTTCCTAGATCAATGTACAATCACCAAGGTCTGTTCATAAAAATGTAACTCTGCTGCAAATAGAGAGAATTTCTCTAGTTTCAATCTAGAGAATTTCTCTGATATGTCTGGTTTGGAGAGAATTTCTCTAGTTTTGGACCAGAGAAATTTGTGGGTTTATTAGTAAAGATTTTATTGTTGGCTTACATATTACACAAAGTCAGAGAAATTCTTTGTGAACAGAGCAAGAGAAATTTGTGAAGTCAGAGAAATTTCTCTGGGTCGACTGCAGCAGAGGCGTTGGTGAAGTTGGCATTGATGAAGAGAGATTTGTTGATGGAGTTTAAGGTGTCTTGTTTGAAGGCAATTGATGTTAGAAATTTTGATAACGTTTGAATTCATTTTGAGTTTTTAGATTATGGATTTGGCTACTTGAAATAGTGGATTGAAATTGAATGTGTGATTTGATCACAGTGGGAGAATGTGATTTGCCAGAGAAAATCAACAAATTTCTCTGGCCATCACATAGAGAAAATTAACACAAAAAAGTGACAGACACAATTTTCTTTGGTTTGGTTAAAACATAGAGAAAATTATGAGTAAATCAGAGAAAGTTAGTCAAATACACAGAGAAAATTGTGAACAAATCACAGAGTTATTTGTGAGCAAATTAGAGAAAATTCAACCCCAGAGAAATTTTAAAACATAGAAAATCAAAAAAATTGAACAAACCAGAGAAATTTGAAATTTCTCTAGATCAATTTGAGGGACCTTAGACATTATGAAAACATTGGATGTCCTTTATGCTATAAAATCTTAATATTAGGGACCTTAAAAAAAATGCCCTATTTTTTAAGTATATTTATATGATGTCTGTCTAAAAAGTAAAAAACAATTGCTTAAAATATTAAAAAAATTATTAAAAATATTAAAATACAAAAAATAAAAAAATATATTTTTTTAAAAATTATTTCCTAAAAACCAGAACCAAATAAGCTGATTCCCCTATAAGTTCACACGGCTGGGTATGTGCTTCATGCATTTGTTAATGGGAAGCACGGTAGTAATGTGATTAATTAATTTTGATTAACTCATTAGAAAGTCCAAATATTCAATTGAAATATTCATTTGACTCATTTTCTTGCATGTTTTGACTTTATAATAATTTAATTTTAGGATCTCAATGGTCCAAAGATGGGCACTAATTCGATTCCGAATCAAAGATTAAAACGAAAAATTGAACGAACTTGATATCTCTATTGAGTGTCACTGTTGGTTTGGAAGTAAGAATTATATTATGAAGTGTAAAACAATGACATTTTTTTTTCTGTTATATTCTTTTAAATCATTAATTAAATTTTTTTTTTTTTTTTTTTGATGTGGTGGTGACTAGAACTATGGTGGCCACTTTGATGAAATAAAACATGGAATTCATGGTCCGGTGAAATTGATCGGTGATAACAACCTTGCAAAATAGTACTTGGACATACAAGGTTGAAATCCATGGTATAGACAAGAAAAAACTCTACATGAGGGACAATCGGTATGACCCAAAATGGGAATTAAAAAATCTCTCTATGGATAAGATGTTTGTTTGGTACCAGGTGATTCAATCAATTTAACATTGCTAATTTTTTGCAATGCTATTCCTTTTCTTTTACTTCTTTTTTTTTTTTTTTTTTTTTTTGCGAAATTTTTTTTTTTTTTTTTTTTGGTTTGTTATTTTTTAACATTCTTATCCTAAGAACTCGAAATAACAAATGTTTATTTTTTTATTTGTTGTAGACGACTTTTATGGCTCCGATGGGGGATGATCTAGTTGTTTTGGATTTAGTGGGATTAGGTAAAGGAATTGTTTGGGTGAACGGCTATAATATCGGGAGATACTGGCCAAGCCTTTTTGCTGATGATAATGGATGTGATTATAAATGTGACTATCGCGGAATATATTCTAATTCAAAATACTTGAGTGGATGTGACCAATCCTCACAAAGATGGTAATTAAAATTTTCAATTTCATATATATATATATATATATGAGTTTTAAAATTTATTATAATTTTTATGTCAAATAATTAATTTAGTAATGTTTTTTTTTTAATTTTTTTTATTAAGAATAACTAGGTACCATGTGCCACGGTCTTTCCTCTAAGATGACGATAACTTGTTGGTTTTGTTTGAGGAGTTTGGAGGCAACCCTACTAATTTGAAAATCCAAACCATCACGATTGGAACAATTTGTGCAAATGCTTTTGAAGGGAACAAGTTGGAGCTATCATGCCAAGGAGGAACTATATCTGAAATCAAATTTGCTAGCTATGGTAATCCGAGAGGCTCTTGTGGATCTTTTGAAAGAGGAGCTTGTGAATCTCCTAACACTAAAGCAATCATCGAAAATGTAAGTTTACTTATTTCCTTATCCTCCTCCTATGCTTGTTTTTAGTTGATTAATTCGTTTTTAGGATTGTGCAATTAGTGAGATCTTAATATTGTCTTACCAAAAAGCATAAAACAAAAGAAAAATTAGATTTTAGTCTCTTTTCTCTCACCCATCACTGACCCACCTGCCACTACCACCCACCATTGACCCACTGCTTGGCCAGTTTGTTACTTGTGACCTCTGCCCAACCAATAGTGAGCTTTGACGAATCTTCGATACCATTTTGACCTCTGGCCA